TACAGCTAGCTCACAGTTTTTTAGCCTCCGGCTCCCACATTTCTGTCTTAGCTCCGGAAGGACGGCTCCAGAGCAAACCAATTGATGCAGCAGCCAAATCGCTCGCTCACAACTTTAATGCCAGAATCTCACAAAGTAGAATTTTTGCTCACAGGACTCCCCAGTTTAGAGGGAGCGTTGGACCCAAGTGCAGGGTTATGGAGTGTATAACAGCATCTCTTTGCAAAGAGTCTGCAGGCAAGCATGACTTCTGAGATGTGTGGGACACCAGAATCTGGACTGTGCCCCCATTAATCCGGACAAGTGGAACACAGAAAGGAAAGCCAAAGAGTTCCGCACAGATTGTCAGAACTAGCTGCATAACCTGATATGGACACTAGGGGGCTCCCCTCACCTGAGATCTGGGCTAGTATTGGGTTTTAAGACCAAATTTACAGAAAGTGTTCCATATTCCTCTGATATTTTATTGCAACAAAAATGTCTAAGCAGTAAGGAGACTAGGTGTCTGGAAACTAAGGGAGCTGGCTGATATTATACTGTCCTACCATCTGCTAAACATTTACATCTACCCTGTAAACAATATACAGTAAAGAAAATGCTGGTTGTCTTCAAGGGAATATAAAAGGTAAGGGTTCCCTTGCTCGAAAGCCAGTCGAATCCGACTCTAGGGTTGCGGTGCTCATCTCCGTTTCAAAGCCGAAGAGCCAGCGCTGTCCGAAAACGTTTCCGTGGTCATGTGGCCGGCATGACTAAACATCGAGGTGCATGGAACGCTGTTACCTTCCCACCAAAGTGGTCCCTATTTATCTACTTGCATTTTCTTGCTTTTGAACTGCTAGGTTGGCAGGAGCTGGGGCCAGAGACGGGAGCTCACTCCGTCATGCGGCACCCTGGGTCTCAAACTGCTGAACTACCGACCTTCCACAGCCTGCAGTTCAGCGTCTTAACCACTTGAGCCACCGCAGCTCCCAAGGGAATATATTATACTTTTAAATCGTATCAGTTTCATAACCATTCAATTGTTATGGATTTCCCCCCAGAGAATCCTGGGAATTGTAGTTTGATGAAGTACAAGAGGCCATTACTGGAAGATTCCCTACAGATCTTGAAACTCAGATCTAAAATTCAAAAGGTGAGGCAAACTATTTAAATGTGTAGCATTTGAATGCACCATTGTGAATGTCCATTTTAGCTTAATTTGGGGGTCACACAAGGCTTTGCTTCAATACCTGAACACCCAGGGTTTTTGGTTTTTTTTTAAGAACTGGCTTGGACGTAATAATAATCTGGGCATCAATCGGAGATACTGAGAAAATTATGATGAGAAAATTAATTGCTGAAATAGAGCATGACTTTAGAGGACTGAATCAAGCTTACTGTTACAGCCACGACATTGGAGCCCCCAGGAGAATTCTCTGGGATCCGTGCGATGTAGTACTCTGACGAAAACTTTGGGACGTTGTCATTGGTATCCAAGAGACGTATCACGATATCAGCTGTTGAACTAAACTTCTCAGGAGTGTTGACTTCTATCGCAAGAAGCTAAAGAGATAACGGGGAAAACCATTTCGAGAGTTAGCAGGAAGTGCAAAAAAAACCCCGTGTCCTGCCCTGAAACAACAGATATTATTGGTAAGTGACAGACACGGACAGATGAGACAGATATTTCTACAGATCTGAGAAAAGCCCCAGGTTTGCAGAAAAATCTGAAATCTAAAAACAAATAACACTTGTACCTTTAAGAAATGGATGCCCTCTGAGACCTCAGTGGCCATTGCAAGGGTTGCTAAAGAAACACAACCATATTGCCAGCCTTCAACATTTGGATTCTGGTAAAAATAGTTAGGGGAAAGGGGGCAAGGCCCTTTCCAGGGCTATTTAGGCCTCTGAGTTCATCCGTGCCTCTCTCCCTACCGCCCTGGAAGTAGCCTTGCCAACTTCCAGGTGGTGGCTGGAGATCTCCTGGGATTACAATTTATCTCGAGGCAGCCAAGATCAGTTCATCTGGAGAAAGCGGCCACTTTGGAAGGCGGACTCTATGGCATTGTACCCCACTGAAGTCCCGACCCTCCCCAAACTCTGCCCTCCTCCGGCTCCACCCCCCAAATCTCCAGGTATTTCCCAGCACGGAGCTGGCAACCCTGCCTGGAAGGAGGACTCACTGGGGCCGTGCCCCAGTAGGCAACTTGCGACCATGCAATTTGTGCAACTCACCCAGGTGCAGTGGTGGCTTTGGTAATGCGACACAACTCACTTGGGCCCAGGGGCAGCCGCCGCACAACTTGCATGACTTGGCCAGGTCCAGCAGTAGCTACGGCAGAACTCACCTGAGCGACTTGCTACCCCCATGACTTTTGCAGCTTGGTCAGACATTTCCCAGAGAAAGGCTACCAGGGGGATGGAAGGGGCCCGTGTGATGCAGTGATTAGAGTGTCAAGGCTAGGATCTGGGAGACCCAGGTTCAAATCCCCACTCTGCCACGGAAGCCTGCTGGGTGGCCTTGGGTCAGTCACTTTCTCTTAACCTTATCTACCTCACAGGGTTGTTGTGAGGACACAATGGAGGAGAGGAAGAGAACGATGCAAGCGGCTTTGGGTCCTCACTGGGGAGAAAGATGAGGTAAATAAATAATAAATAAATTTTTTGGGCAGGAACGCACAGGAACGGAGTTCCGGCTGGCTCCCGGGTTGGCCACGCCCAGCAGGAGCTCATTAGCATAATAGGCCACACCCAACAGCAGAAACTCATTAGGATTGGCTACGTTAGGGGTGTGTGGCCTAACATGCAAAGGAGTTCCTGCTACAAGAAAAGCCCTGGGTTTTGACAACAAACAAGGTAAACAGAATAAGAAGGAAAAGGTGGGTGTGGCTGGATGAGCACACTTCTGGTAACATGGGGGTGTGGCCTAATATGCTAATGAGTTGTGTTGTCAGGGGTGTGGCCTAATATGCTTATTAGTTTCTGCTGTTCGGTGTGGAGTATTATGCTAATGAGTTCCTGCTGGGCTTTTTCTACAAAAAGAGCCCTGAATAAAAATAAAGGTTGCTTGGTGAATGGAAAAGAGAGAAGAAAGCAGGGAAGGGGAGAGGCTGTGGGGGCTGCCAGGAGGAGGAGGAGGAGAAGAAGAGGAGGAGGAGGAGGAGATTGGATTTATGCCCCACCCTTCACTCAAAGTCTCAGAGCAGTTTACAAACTTCTTTCCCCTCCCCCTCCCCACAACAGATACCCTGTGAGGTAGGTAGGGCTGAGAGAGCTCTTTCCAGAACTGTCCTTGAGAGAACAGCTCTGACAGAACTATGGCTTGCCCAAGGTGATCCAGCAGCTGCAAGTGGAGGAGTGGGGAATCAAACCCGTTTCTCCCAGATTAGAGTCCACACACTTAACCACTACACCAAACTGGAGGAGGAGAGGAAGAGGAGATATTTTGCAGAAGTGGATATAGGGGAAAATGAAATGACCCGCACAAGTCCTTGCATGATGCAGAATCAAAGAAAAAACAATGGTGCAGTGGGAAGAAATTCTTTATTCCAAATAGCAATACCCCTACGCACTTAGCACCAAGCTTCCTCAGTTGCTGCTGTTTTTATATTCTACAGAACCCCCTGAGGAAGCTTGGTGTGAAACACATAGGCGTATATTTGTTTCTTCTTTGTCTCTTTGCTCCAATTGGTGCAGCCCTTTGTTCTTTTCAAGTTGCAGAATCACATCAACTAACACAGAACAGAAAAAAAGAAACCATAGTAGCTTCAAAAGGTTGAGTTGTACATAGAGATGTCCTCAGTGCACAGAAATTAGATCAATCTGATACCATATATATATATTTTAGAAATGATTTGGAAAATATTTGAACACCTTGTCTTAAAATATTTTATTCATCATGTTAAAATAAAACGTTCCATAATCAATTTTTTTTCTTTTCTTTTTTCAGTTTTTCCAATTTTTTGGAAAAAAACAAAAAAGGCTTCAGGAAAACATTGGGAAAAAAACATTTTCCCCCCCGAATTTTTCCGGTTTTTTCCAGGCCTTCATATCTTTAGTTTTATACAGTAGTCAAAGGCTATTAGAATCTGCATGTATGCATTTCCAAAAAACTTTAAACAATGCTTTTCTGGACAATATGTTATTTGAATGATCGCTACAGGCATTTGAGCCTGCAACTAGGAATGGGCATGGGCCGGAAAAATGGAGGTTCACGAACCATGAACTTCCACGGACTTTTCTGGTTCACGAACCAGTTCGTGGTTCGTGAGGTCCGTAATGGCAGGAGAACCGGAAGAGGCCATACTATTCAGAAGCGGTTACAGTGGGAAATGAAATGATCTGTACAAGTTCTTTCCCCCGCCCCACAAAACAACATTTTTCAACATTAAGTTACATTACTTTAATCCCATATCCGTTTCTATTATATCCCCCCCCCTTTGGTGGCTTCCCGCAATCCTTCTCCCCTCCCTCTCATTTTATAATTCCAATTTTTCTTTCCCATTTTTCTTTTTACGTTTCAAGGTAACAATATCTTACTTTATACAATTCAAACCTTTCAATATTTCAACCCTTAATAATTATCAAAACAAAGTAGACTGTGTTTTACATCCCAATTTTTTTCCTAAATATTCTTTAAAGTCTTGCCATTCTTCGAAAAATTCTTGATCTTCTTTATTATTGAGTTTCTTTGTTAATTTGTCCATTTCCGCCATAAATAACACCTTCTTTATCCATTCCCATTTATCAGGTATTCTATCCTGCTTCCAAAATTGTGCATAAGTCATTCTAGCAGTGGTGATTAGGTACCACAACAAAGTCTTTTTTGTTACATTTACTTCTTCCATCTTTAGACCTAGAAGTAATATCTCCGGTTCTTTTTTAAAAGTACATTTCAACATTTTCTGCATCTCATCATGAACATCTGTCCAAAAAGTCATAGCTTTCTCACAAGTCCACCACATATAAATGGTCTGTACAAGTTCTTGCGAGATGACTAATCAAAGAGAAAACAATGGTATAGTGGGACGGCCACGGTGGCGTGACGCCAGTGAGCTCAGGAGGCATTTAAAGGCCTTCTGAGCCCACTTTTGGGTCACAACGCCATGGTGCCGCGATGCCAGTGAGCTCAGGGGGAATTTAAACTCCTCCTGTTCCAAGCTCACTTCCGGGTCATGCTACTGCTGCGGAGCTCAGGACAGGAGGCGTTTAAATGCCTCCTAAGCTCACTGGTGGCGCACCATAGTGGCAGCGCAACCTGGAAGAGGGCCCAGAAGGCATTTAAATGCCTCCTGAGCTCATCCATGGCACAGCTTCAAAGAGTTCCCTGGGCATAAGCATGTCTGACCAACAGACCCCTCCAACAGACCACATGGACTTCCTTAAAAAAAATCGCAGTCTATGTACAGTCCACCAAAACCACGAATGCATGCATCAGGCAAACGGTCCATGAACCGACCCCTGGTCTGTGACAAAATTTTATTCATTGGGTCCATGGACCAGTCCACGCCCATCCCTTCCTGCGGCCCCTCCTGAATCCATGGAATAAAAAGTGTGGATTCCACTGTATATCACCTCAAACTTGATGGGAGCTGTACGGTAATCAGCTACATCAGCAACATTTCTCTGTTTGCATAATTTATTCTGCAGGTGCTACTACTTTGTATGTTTGATTCTGCTTCTTGTAGACATGGGGAAAGGCAAGGGAGGTAACGTGAGCCCTGAAGCTCCGGCCTTGGCTGGAGACAGCTGGGAACCTTAGTTACCCACCAATCTGGTGCCTGAGATCTCAGCAAGCATTGCCCAGTGCCCATACAGTTTTGCTGCCATAAGTCCTTGTTGTTGTTCAGTCGCACAGTCGAGTCTGACTCTTCGCGACCCCATGGACCAGCTCCCGCCAGTCCTAGAGACTTCTTTTTAAAGGGACAGGCAAACTCCCCATACTGTGACTCAGAATTTGGTTGTCCATTACAAGTGGCACCTGTAAAAGCTTACAGAGAAGACTGCCCTTTCATTCTAAATTAGCTTGCTTTGCACATGCACAGTATTCCATTGCCATTTGGGAATGGTAGTGCAGATGCTTCCTGCCCTTTTGTATATATCGTGTGTCACAATACTAGCATGGTGTAGTGGTTAGAGAGTTGGACTGTGATCCGGAAGATCCAAGTCTGAATCATCAGTCTGCCATGGAAGCTCAGTTTGTGTCCTTGGGTCAATCTCTCTCTCTCTCCCTAACCCACTTCACAGGATTGTTGTTGTAAGGACAAAAGGGATGAGGGAAAAGCAACGTAGGATGCTTTTGGGTTCCCATTGGGAAAAAGTAAGGTATAAATATCTAAAGAAACACCTTGTCCCCTGCAACGCTCCCTCTAAGCTGTGGAGTCTTGTGAGCAAAAATTCTACCTTGTGAGCTACTGGCATTAATGTTGTGAGCAGGTGATTCGGCTGCTGCATAAATCAGTTTGCTCTGGAGCCACTCTTCCTGAGCGAAGACAAAAAGGTGTGAGCCGGAGGCTAAAAAACGGTGAGCTAGCTCACACTAACTCATCTTAGAGGGAACACTG